TGGACGTAATGGGGACGACTAAAAAATTTTAATGGTCCTTTTCAGAAAGTTGAATAGTCCTTCAATGCGTGAGAGAAGTACAGCGTAGATGTTGGAGTTTAATTGGCAAATGTCAAACTATTGTTAATGTCAAATAATATTAACTCAAAAGTTTGAAAAGCCTTATCATTTTCTATTATATTTTTTTTGGTTTTTTTCACTTTCTCTTTCCTTGTTTAGGGTTGATAAGAACGCGGATTAATTAACTAAGATGGTTACGTTTGGTGCATTTACTTATTCAACTGCCAATAGGAAGTACATCCACAACCATCAGCGACTACCAAAACTCAAGGTAAATGAACCTATATATCCAATATATGCTTTAATCTTCATTAACTATCACTGTATATCAAAAGAATAAATATATAGAAATAATCATAATTTGAACGTGGTTTAAGCAAGAAATGTATTATAGATATCTACTCCACATTGTATGGAAAAGCTAAACTAGATTGATATAAGAAAGTAGGCGACAAACTCATCTAGGCTTTATTTGAGACAGTTCTTTGCTATTGTTTTTTCACTGCTTTCAAAAAAAAATTGTACCAAAAAATTACTTTTAGAAAGTAGTAAGAAATCTATCACAAACAAAATCTTAATCAAAATTATTTGATTCTATCCCAATCGAGAACTATTTTTTTTGCTTTTGAGATTAATATTTGTTGAGTTATAAATCGCTATATAGCTTCTTGTAATACAAGATTTATGAACCCTAATGATAACTAATTCTCTGTCACTCAATGAAATTGAGAACTCTCATTAAATGAGGGAAAGGAGAATATAACTGTCATATTATTAAGGCCATGAATTTCAAAATTAGTATATAAACATAGGAATGCTCTCAAAACCCACCTGTCAATACTGGAACTTCTCAAGCCACTCATATCATGTATAGTGATAAGGAATATTTTTATCATTTGAGGTTCAGATAGATAGGATAAGAATCAACTATGATTTAAAATAATTTTCAAGTAAGCTAGAGCAACAATATATGAAAGAAAACTAAAGATGATAGATATATATATAGGATATATAGTTTAAGTAGTTTAAGTGGTTCAAAATTATTGATCAATATCCATTGTGCAAAGTTGATAGATTTTTCTTCTATAATATATAGGGAAGTGAGTATAGCAATCCTCTAATTTCTACGTACAATAATATATATAATTAACTTCCTCTCTTATTACAAGAATTATAGAGAATTTGAATATTTTTGCGTGGATTTGGTGTCACTAGCCTCTCTTTAATTGATTGTTTAGATAATCAATTCTCTCCTCTTGTCGAGATGTTGAAATTGGGTATTTATAGATAAAACTCTTATTTTGGGAGTTGATCCATTTAAGTCATAATGGTTTGGGTGGCTTTACTATCTTCTAGATTTAAATTTATCCATGGACAAGATTATCGATCAAAGCTTACTTATAAAAATGTCCTAAGTAACCATAGAGAGATAGGGTTTAATGAAAGGAGCTCTAAATTTTTACTATATTATCAAAAAAAGTATAATACTTGTGACAATAATTATACTCTCTTAGCTTATTCTCTAATCCCCTATTTATAAGTTAAGGTTCAGACATAGCACTATAGTGTAGTATATGCTACATTTAAAACAAATATCTAAATTACTTTTAAAAAAGCCAACTAAATGTCTAACACATAAGTAAATATTACTAGCTCATAATTATTTAATTACATTGAATGTCCATGATTATTTTCTTACAATAAATGAATTCTTTTGAAGGCTTCAACAATAATGTTGGGCAAGTTCTAACAAATAGTTGTACCAATTTATGATTACTTAAAAATGCTTGAGATGAAACAAACTCAATTTCACTCAAGTATATAATGAAAATGTCGTATATTGAAGTAAGCCTTGAAAATAATTTATATATATATATTTTATTATTCTTTAGATAATTTATCTCCCTCCATTTGTTTTTAGTCTTTATTATAAGGATTTTTAAGCAATTGCCCCCCATAAAAGTTTTAAATTACTATGATCTTTAGACAATTGCCCATCTAAAATTAAAGAGATAGAATTCATCATTTTATTTATTAATTTAAATTCCAAAAATATCCTTACATCCAAAATTTGTAAGGTCGAACCACATTAGGTGACGTTGTCCCCTTGGACCCCCCGAATATCAAGTTTCCTTATTATTTAGCGACCTTAGTTACTTTTGGTAGCTAAAAGATATCTTTAGCGAACATTTTCTTTTTGTCTCTATTTTTTCTGAGAAGGCATTAAAGTATTAAACAGGTAAATAGGAATCGAATTGAGCACAGATTTAATCAAAATTAACCGGCCACCAAAAGATAAGAAGTTAGCCGACCAACTAGCAATACGTTTTTGAACCAAAGTAAAAATATCTTCAAAGAGAAAATATATGAAAGATAGAACAACATGATTTAAAATAATCAACTATGATTTAAAATATTTTTCAAGTAAGCTAGAGCAACAATATATGAAAGAAAACTAAAGATGATAGATATATATAGGATACATAGTTTAAGTAGTTTAAGTGGTTCAAAATTATTGATCAATATCCATTGTGCAAAGTTGATATATTTTTCTTCTATAATATATAGGGAAGTGAGTATAGCAATCCTCTAATTTCTACGTACAATAATATATATAATTAACTTCCTCTCTTATTACAAGAATTATCTAGAATTTGAATATTTTTTGCGTGGATTTGGTGTCACTAGCCTCTCTTTAATTGGTTGTTTAGATAATCAATTCCCTCCTCTTGTTGAGATGTTGAAATTGGTTATTTGTAGATAAAACTCTTATTTTGGGAGTTGAGCCAATTTTTAAGTCATAATGGTTTGGGGTGGCTTTACTATCTTCTAAATTTAAATTTATCCATGGACAAGATCACAACTTACTTATAAAAATGTCCTAAGTAACCATAGAGAGATAGAGGGTCTAATGAAAGGAGCTCTAAATTTTTACTATATTATCAAAAAAAAGTATAATACTTGTGACAATAATTATGCTCTCTTAGCTTATTCTCTAATCCCCTATTTATAAGTTAGGGTTCAGACATAACACTATAGTGTAGTATATGCTACATTTAAAACAAATATCTAAATTACTTTTAAAAAAGCCAACTAAATGTCTAACACATAAGTAAATATTACTAGCTCATAATTATTTAATTACATTGAATGTCCATGATTATTTTCTTACAATAAATGAATTCTTTTGAAGGCTTCAACAATAATGTTGGGCAAGTTCTAACAAATAGTTGTACCAATTTATGTTTACTTAAAAATGCTTGAGATGAAACAAACTCAATTTCACTCAAGTATATAATGAAAATGTCGTATATTGAAGTAAGCCTTGAAAATAATTTATATATATATATTTTATTATTCTTTAGATAATTTATCTCCCTTCATTTGTTTTTAGTCTTTATTATAAGGATTTTTAAGCAATTGCCCCCCATAAAAGTTTTAAATTACTATGATCTTTAGACAATTGCCCATCTAAAATTAAAGAGATAGAATTCATCATTTTATTTATTAATTTAAATTCCAAAAATATCCTTACATCCAAAATTTGTAAGGTCGAACCACATTAGGTGACGTTGTCCCCTTGGACCCCCCGAATATCAAGTTTCCTTATTATTTAGCGACCTTAGTTACTTTTGGTAGCTAAAAGATATCTTTAGCGAACATTTTCTTTTTGTCTCTATTTTTTCTCCCTATTAACCCATTTTCTTGTAGTAAGGGTCGAGCCAAATTCGATGCAACTCCAGCAATTACTTATAAATTTGTTCCCCTTGAAAATTAAGATTGATTCCGTCCCTACTTAAAACATATTAGATTAGATAAAACATTTTTTGCTTTCGTGGGCTCAACAAAGCCTTCGTCATGCAACAGTATCTTGCAAGCCTGAAAAAAGTCGTGCAAATAAATGCTTTATATCTAAAAGATTAAAGTTAGTTCATAATCATAATATCGTCATGATGTAACTATTTTTCTTAAATTATATTGGCTTTGTAATTTGAACTGATAGTGCGATCTTTTGTCATTTTGCTTTCGAAGGCCTTGATCAGAGCTGTACCTTCATTCATGCAAAATTTTGTTAAGGAACGTTTCAGCTTTGAATGGAAGATAGCTAACCGACAATATAAGGAATGAATACCAGAACATACCCTAAGTAGCATGCAATTTCAGTGCACATATATAATCACTTTTTGAAACACACATTTGTAGCTTATGAACGGCTTAAGTGAGTGAAGCTGACTCATGAGTCTGATATGACTCTTCTAAATAAATAGCTACAAGCTAATTATTCAAATTTGAATCATTCCTGACTTGAGTTGTCAGCTAGTGAGTCCGCTTTAAAAAAAAAATGTTAATGTAAAATATATCAAAATTCAATGATTTTAGTGTAAAATATTGTTAAAAATTTTTATATGAAAGATCAAAATTAAAAAAAAAAATCAAATCTCGAATTAGCCAATAGTGAGCTCATTTTATAATTGTCATTTTTATTGCTACATATAAAAAAATCTTTGATACAACATAACCTTTTCTATCATTGACAGAGAGTAATTCTACAAAAAATTATATATATTTATGTATAATAAATTATGTGTAAATGAGGTATTTTTTATAAGAATTTATATAAATAATATCCTTTAGAACTCTCCATTTGATTTAAGCGACTTAATTCCTTGCCATACTTTTTCTCTTTTAATAGAGTAATATTTTATCTATCCAAAATCACTCGTAATAAATAAATAATCACAAACAAATAATGCATTAAAATATATGATTTTTATTCTTTCTTATATGATAAATATTTGGGCGAGCTTAACAGTACTCCTTCCAACATTATGAATCTATACTCTCTATTCGAAAACCCTAAACTTTATAAACTCCTTCAAGGAATTTCTCTCTCTCTCTCTCTCTCTCTCTCTCTCTTTCTTTCTCTCCAACCCCCCAAATATCTCATGTGATCAGAACAGCAGTAAATTCATAGAAGAAGAAGTAGGGGCCACTGCATCCATATTTATTCCTACATCCCAATATAATCCTTCGCAACCGGAACCGTTTTCCAATAGCCAAGGACCCCTAGCTTCCACTTCTCAGTACCATCCTCTCTACTATTCTTCCTCTCTATCTTTCTCTCTCTCTCTGCTCCTTTTCCACTGAAAAAGATGATGAACACATCGCACAACACCGAAACCTATGCTGCCTCACCTTTCATGTCCTTTGTAGGGATAGAAGGCAGCGGCAGTACTCATGCAAGCCAAAAGCAGCAACTTTGGGACTGGGACTCCTCTAATACCTTCTCCTCCACCACCCACAGCCTCCCTTTCTACACTACTCACACCATTCCTACGCTATTAGATGCCCCACCTCCTTCCCTCTTCACCATCAACAACCCCTTACCCTTCTACTTCCCTCCCCCACCGCCACCTCCTCCTCCACCATCAGCCAACATCATCCCCGACTACCCTCGCGCCTCCGGTTTCTTCAAGCTTGAGGATGGTCTCACTGCCGGAGGCTATGGCGGGCTGGCTGGCGCTCGCATCGGCCTCAACCTCGGCCATCGAACTTACTTCTCCTCCGTCGATCATCAGCTGATGTTATTCGGAAGGTCGGCGCACCACCAGCCGCCACGGTGTCAAGCCGAGGGCTGTCGTGCCGACCTCTCTGGTGCAAAGCACTACCACCGTAGGCATAAGGTGTGTGATTTCCATTCCAAGGCCCCAGTCGTTTTCTTCCCTGGCGGGCTGCAACAAAGGTTCTGCCAGCAGTGTAGCAGGCACGTATTCATTTTTTTCAGGCTCTCTTATCTTCATTTCTAATAGGAAATTTTTTTTTTTCTCTAGCAAACCTCTAAGCATTGAAAGAGAGTGAGAGAGATAGGCTTTATTGAGGTTTTCTCAAAGTATATAAATGGTTTGCATGTTTTTTTATCGTTTTGCCTTATGGTGTTCGAGGTCATTTACTTCTTGTTTGATGGGACTTTATGGGTCAATCTTCCTCATAGGATTTTCTTTGACGTTTAAATACCTAAATGATAACTAGGAGATTACAGTCGTAAGGGTTTAGGGTTTTCATCAAGGTTTTGAAGCTGAAAGCAGGAAGAAATATAGTAAAATAGTAATTTATTTTTTTTTTCTTTTTTCATGATTTTTATTAATAGATCCAAAGCACAGGCTTGAATACTGATAATTATAGGAAATGATAGATTTATATATATATAAACATTAGGAAGTTTGATGATTCAAAACTATGAAAGCCTTTGTTTATAGATGAAAGTTTTATTTAGCCAATTGAAATTGTTAATTTTGCATGAGTTGGATATATATTCCCTTCACTGTTGGTGGATCATTGCATCAAATATCATAATAGCCCAAAATTTCAAAATCAAGTAATTAGCTCATAAATAAATAAAAATGGTTCATTTTAATACATTTTGCACATTACACCTTTTTCTATTAATTATTTGAGTACTTTTGTTTAAAATTTTGGTTAGATAAAACATTCTCTTATTTTGATTACTACATTTTGTCTATCATTTAATAATGTTCTTGAAATTACAAGACTAAATCTCATCATATTGTAATTTATATTCTGATGAAAAATAAAATGTGAAAACTTAAAAGAAAAATGGCCAAAATTAGAATATAACATTGAGTGTTAAAAAAAAAACATTGAGTGTTTATCTTTTAATTTTGAGCATTTTAACTGTCAATCCTACACATATTGCTTTAGTATATTTGATGAAATTGATTTCATTGTCTTCTTTGATATTCATGAATTATTACATGAGGATTAATTTGATTTCATTATTTAATTATTATCTTAATACACCACAAATCTGTGTATTAACTGTTGTATTAATATTGTTATTTTCTTTAATGTGCACGTTCAAGCTTTCACCTAAAGGGATTATTACTCGCATGCATATTAATTAAGCTGCATGGATCTCCATCATTTAACTCTAATAGTTCAAAATGTCCAAATTCATACAGAATACTTTCTCGCTTGTATTCTAATATGTTCGTTTTTATTTGCAGACTAATTAGATTTTGTTTAGAATAATCTTCTACAATGTAACATATATAGCTTTGTCGTTCAAGTGTTAATTGTATCTCTCCTTCATCTTTCTCTAAGTAGCTTTATTATACTCCTTGATCTTCTTACAACGGCCTTTTATTCTACAGATTCCATGGCCTAGCTGAATTTGACGACACCAAGCGTAGCTGTCGAAAGCGCTTAGCTGAGCACAATCGCCGCCGGAGGAAGCCACAAGCCCAACCCCCGGCGAAGGGTGGCTCATCTTCATCAGTAGCTCCAACTATCAAAGCTAAAGAAGAAAACAAAGTAACATCAGGAACAAAAACCAGCAAGCAACTCTGTAATGAATCTTACTTCACTTAAACATAGAAATCTCTTCTTTAAATACTACTAATTAATGTTTTATCTTACTCGTAATATATATTTAACCTACATAATCTTTTTCAGTAAATCATATAAACTTATCAGGATAAACATGATTAAAAGAACTTGCTACGTCTACATATATAAATATAGAAGCCAAAATAACGAGCAAAGCCAGCATGAGCTGAAAATTCTTCAAGGATGTTGCAGAAGTAAAAAATATAGATAATCAAGGCCTCAAACTACATGGAAATTTGTGAATACAAAATGCTGAAGTTAATGTATAGCAGGTTTTTTAGATATATACCAATTTAATCTTGGTCATAAAGCTCATCATTATTCTCATCAGAATTTTCAAAATTTGTAGACGTCATGAGCAGTAGATCTCGTGAAGCAACACCTTTTGATATGGCTCTTTTTCAGATTTTCTATATTAGAAAGGGCTCATCGTTATCAAATTTTCTATTGCTTACATCATCAAACAAATTATGAAAATGTTATGAATCTATTTTAGAATGGACTCATCTTTATCAAATTTTCTTCTAGTGCTTACATTATCAAGCAAATTATTTTCAACCAATCTCTAATCAGAGATAATTTAATTTTATATAGAGGATATGATAAGAATATAGTACTATACTTCTTTGTTGTTACTAATAATGCTCTTGTATTCATATATAGCGAGTATTATCAAACCCAACAACACCATACCACCTATTCTGAGCAGCAGCAACATTAGCTTAGAAGGGCAGCAGAAGAAAGCACTGACTCCATTTACTAGTGGCTCAGCTCTATCGCTCGGGGGAATTGGCGGTTCCACGACTCATGAGCAACAAAGAGTCTCTACTTTTATGTCAGCAGAAGAGAAAGCTTCTCAATATCAACAACAATTCCAAGGTCACTTCGCATCTCCTTGCTCATCTTCCAACACTTTCTTCCCTCACCAAAACTTCTTCAATGAGGGAACTCATTCAGGCGGAGGATCAGAGATGGCTCATCACAATCAGAGCAGCATTCTTCAGCTCGGGCAGGCTATGTTCGAATGGGACTTTATTTGAAGCTTTAGTAGCAGAATATCTTCTATATATTGCTCTTTCATAAATGTTTTACTCATGAATAAAATTCAGTTCCATTTTCAATAATTCATGATGTATGTCAGTGTGAGTTCCTTAATTACCTTTTGCTCCCATTTTATCATAAGCCTTGTACACGTTAACTGACAGTTCGTAGTCTCTATAAATATGGTGCATTTAGTGATAGAGAGGCATGCAGGGCATTGTTATTAATGGGACCTTTCATGCCCACATGTATCCCGTTTGTTTTTTTAGGTGTGACCATATCAGCACCAATGCACCGGATCCCATCAAACCTCTGCAGTTAAACGTGTTTGGGCGAGAGTAGTACTAGGATGAGTGACCTCCTGAGAATATAAATTCTCAAGCTTTAATATAAGTATCTTATATTCTTAACGAATTATATCTTTTTGTTTTGATTTTGGGAAGTAAAAATGATTAGCTTCCTCATAATAGCAGGTCTATTAGTTTTGAAGTACTATTGGAGTGAATGGTTAGTCCCGATTTCAGGCATTACCATTAATTGCATTTTTAGAGCAGTAAGATATCATTAAATGCATACTTTTAATATCTTTGGGTTCAATAAATAGGCTTCATCTAGTATCTTTCATGGATATATGTTAAGTATTGATCATCTCTGTGCATGCTGAATTTATGTAATGCTCGGGCTTTGATATCTTTGAGAGCTTGAAGTTTGGGATTTTTTTTAGGGTTAAAACTCATTGAGGGGCTTACGCGTTAATATAAAAAACAAGGTTACAAGGTCTTTAAAAGGAACCTCCAGCTTTCTAATGCTTAGAAAAGCTACAAAATAAAACAAAATAAAACCTAAAAGCCGATGGTTCCTTCTACTAAAAATTACAAAAATATCTAATAACATACTAGGACTGCAATTAAGAGGACAGCACCCAAAAAAGGAATATCAAGTGATAACAATTCAGCACGTAATTCCTGCAAAAAGAGATTTAAATTAGTTTATTAAAGAGATGGTCAATCCGTAGAGAGCAAAATTGGCTTCATACTAGTGGATTTGTTCCTCATACGGAACATAGATGATGACTGGTAAGAGTTTTAAATTAGTTTATTAAATATATCTATGTTATTATAATTATATCTTATATTTTCAGAAAGAGTACCTTGGTCGGGAGCCAACATCATTGGAGTTGCATATAATAACTCATCAATATCAAACTGACTATTAGTGAGTTGATGAAAAGGCTAAGAAGGCTCATGTGAGTATAATTTTTTGAGTTTGAGAATAAAAATTTATTTTAATAAAACTAATTGTAATATCAATAGATTTTATGGATTTATTCTCGCATGATGATTTTGTACGAGCTCAAAAAAGTCGGCAGTCTAATGGTGAGGGATCATCTTCAGGATCGACCCAAATTTTTGAGTATCATACATGGTCAGATGTTGTTGAAGGAAGACAGAGGGGGAGGGTATGTGGCTTGGGTTCACAGGGCTATGCTTATGAGGGCAGTTCATCAACCTTAGTATTTTATGATCCAAGTGAAGCTGAAAAAACTGTAAGCCAGAGGATTACAACGCTGATTAGAGATATTGAAGAGATGAGAAATGTTCAAAATGAAATGCAAGTAGAGCTACAATCCTACAGAGATAAAAATCAAAGGAAGAAAGAGCAAGAGACGGAGCAGCCACATGCATCTCCAGACAGCGAGGATACAGCCGAGGATTAGCACTTTTTTATGTTTGATGAACTTATGATGATTTGATTGTAAACTTATTTGGTTGAACTTATTGAACTTAGAACTTTAGTTTGATGAACTTGGTTGAACTTGTGAAGTTAGAACTCTGATTTTATTTATTATTTTGTTTGGTTTAATTTATGAATATATTTGTGATAATTATTGTGATTGATTATAGTGGCATGTTGCCCAAAATTGTGGTTATTGTTTTCTATGCATGTTTAGAGTTTAGGGTTAAAATCTCTCAAATAGAGAGGAGGCTGTCCAAACCGCCGGTACAAAATTACGTATCAACGGCGGTCCAAGCCGCCGCTAAACCGCCGGTTTTATTTAGAATCCGGCGGTTTGTCGGCGGTTTCTGGACCGCCGTTAATACCGGCGGTTTAACATATAAAAAACACCGGCAAACCGTCGTTAACAGACGGCGGTTTAACCGCCGGTTAAACCGCCGGTGACACCGGCGGCCCATGAACCGCCGCCAGGAACCGCCGGTAATAGTCATTTTTCCTGTAGTGCCTATAGCGTCCAACCAAAAAAAGCACTTCTTTCATAAGCTGATTTAATGAAATATATATGTATTAGCTAGTCAAAATGTTGACCACTTTTGATGCGTTGATCAATGGTATAGTCTGGATGCGTACATCGTCCCAGCTACCTCTTAAAGATTAGGTATAAGTACAGATTCCTATCAAATGAAAACAATAACAGCAGGTAGTCATGGCCGCTAGCTTTCTTACTCTCTAACAAGATGAGCAATATCACTGCATGCAACAGTTAATTAACAGCTTAATTACAGCCTCATAACTGATTTACAAATAATTTACCACTTCAATCATATATTTCCTTTTAATTCCAGCAGGGAAAAATATCGTAACTCCCAGTAGATTTTAAAAGAAATTAATTAGTACCGTTATATATAGCAGTATTCAATTATTTTAAAATATCACATGGCTTTATTTCTACATCTTACAGATTAAAAAAAACACACAAAGAAGAAACCCTAAGTACTCTTGATTTAATCAGCAAGCCTGATTTGGCGGTTAAAAAAAAAAAACCTGATTTTGGCGGTTGTGTTGATCAAATAATCACATTAGATTGGCTTCTTTTTTATGATAAAACGGTCAAATATTCGAATATATACTTGCAGGATTTGGTAGGTGATCTGTACCAAATATTATTGTGCAGGACGTTGAAAGTTTGCACACGAGCTGTTAATAAGGCTATGAACCAACGCTATCGATCAAACTCATAAAGATTATGAAGGACGTCAAATTGAAGTCTATTAATTTAAATGGTAGTAGAAAGTTTGCCCATTCAACTTAAGCATTAAATTCCATTGAGTACACGTAAACATATTGATTTCTGTGGCTAACAATGATATTAAGTAGTATAATAAGAATAAGATGTCTTTGCTTTGCTGCAATAATGAAGAGTGGATTAGTAAAATATACCTTTGGCTGAGATGATATGAGAAGAGAAGTCGTTCATCAGTAATAATAATAATAATAATAACAAATTTTAAATCAAACTGCTCCATTATTCTCTTCTTTCGGCATGTAAAGAGTTAAAGTGTTGCAGATAATAGAAAAGATGAACAGAAGAGAACAGAACTCTTACAGCAGTAAGCATTATTCAGTTAATTTCCTTGGAGTGCGTGGATGCTCGCCCTGGCTATTTGAAACTCTTCACCTCTCTCTCTCTCTCTCTACCATAATATCTGTGTTCTTAAAAGTCCAGAGTGCATGGCAATAGAAAAAGCAGCTACTACAGTAATTTAATGGATATTTTGTCGCCTATCTAACTGTTGTACAATCTCTACAGATACTTTCCATTACGTGTATTATGTTGGTAGATTTTACACAGTTGGGAAAGCTAGCTATATATTGAACCTTCTACCAATTTCAAGGGAATGTAAAATTCAAAATTTTAAAACAAATTTAAATTTAAAATGAGTTAATTTAATTGAAAACGTTGGCAAGTAAATATCGATGTAGCATTTTACTGCAAGAGTTACAGTATAATGGATGGGGATGGTGAAAATTAAAGCTGATTAGGTACTCTCGCTGAGGATGAGTTCTATCTAAATCCTATTAGATTAACAATATTACCATCATTTGGGGTATATAAATAAAATAAGAAAATACATATTATATATGATTGTATTGTGGCCTTCCATTTCGTGTATTAGATTAACATTTCTTACTCTCCTTTATCTAATGATGCTTTGCTTTCTTTGGGTATATATTGGGAAGCATTTGAATGTTCCTTATGTTGGGAATTCTGTTGACAATTCTGACTAGTCGTCGGCTAATAATAGGGTTGATGAGGATATTAACGTTGGTAATTATTATGATTTGCATGATGATAATGATTTGAATATTGTGCAAGTTGATAATGATAATTTCTCTAAGTACTGTTTTAGGTGAAAAAAATAAGAAAAATAAAGTTAAAAAATTGATGCAGAATTTCAAGTATTATGTTGGTAAATCCTCAAGATCTAAAGCTCCTCCTAATCCTTCTTCTGTTGTTTTGTCGCGGTTGGTTCTTTTGTTGGGGTAGGGTCTTTCTGTCTTTTTTTCCTTTGGGTTGTTCAGTTCAGCGCTGGTTGATTTTCTTTGTTGCTTGTTGGGATATTTCTTGTTGTTTTTCTTGGTGTTCTCTATGACTTCTTTGGTTGCTGCTAGTTGGTGTCTTTTGTGCTATTGGTGTTTAGGGCCCTTGGGCTGGTTTTAGCGGGTCTTTTTTTGTCTTTTGGTGGTTGTGTTGTGGCTTGTTTGAATTGAAGGTGTGTTGGCTTGCTTCTGGTAGTTTAATTTGTTGTTATTGGTTTTTTGGTGCCTGGAGGTTATGTGTCTAATTTTGTTATTGTTCGGTGTTGTTTTGTCTTTTCATTTTCTAATTTGTTTTCTGGTTTAGAGGTTTTCTTTATTGTTGGTTTGCTTTGTTGTTTTGGTCTTGAGTTTCTTTTGTTTGGCTTGGCAGATGCTAAATGGCCTTCTTCTGCTTAGGTGTTGCACCTTCTGGTATTTCGCTTTTGGTGTGCCTGTTTGGTTTGCTTTGTTGTTTCAGGCTCTAGCTCCTTTATTTGTGGTGGCCTCTTATTGGCCCCGTAGATCTTTGATTTCTTTAGTCCTTTCTATTTGTATGTAGGATCTTTAGCTCTTATGTTTATTTTCTTTGAGCATTGGTGGCTTTTGATCCCTTTAATTACTTGTAACCGATTTTTAAATTTAACATGTTGGCCCCTCCGTGAGTTTTAACCGAAAATACAAAATAAAAATTGTGGCCTTCCATTTGAGTGATCATGCTACAAATTAAGATAATTACATGTTAATTTTGTATATAACAAAATATCATATTTTATGCATACATTATCCCAAAATTAATAAAAAAATGTACCAAGAACATATAACAAAGCACAACAATGTAATTCAATTATGTTTAAAGATATTTCTTCAAATTTCTTTGATAATCATCGAATAAAATTCATAAATTAATTGGCCCAGCTTTATTTTTTTTTCTTCTCCTTACTTAGTTGGATATCACTAGCTTGCACTCCATTATTTACTTCATTAGGAGCTGCATGTTTGTTAATTTTCTCTATGAGCTAGCATTAGTTAAGTAAGAAGAAATAATTTAGCATCCATCATTATTTTCTATTTGTAAATATATTTTAATAAGATCTAGAGAAGCATGCAGTAAAATTACTAAATGATAATAATGGTATATCAAATCTAGAAAAATGCAGAGAAAATTTAAAAATAATAATTCTTGATTAGAAGAAATATTTGATCAAGTGGGGCACACTTTATCATAGATTAGAGATGAAGTGATTATGGTTTGCTAATTTTCAAATTAGGGCGTTTTATATTACTCTGATCAAGTGGGCAAAGTTCATCTCCAAGATGACTCAAAATTTGCTTAGACTTGCTTTCCATTCTTAGTGATAATTAATACAATAAATCATTGGAACATCCTAAAGTTGGAACAAAATATGCACTTTGGTTAGACTTGAACCCTTGGTGTACTTTTGTAGGGTTGAGAAATCATTTTCAAGTCTTCATGGCGTCTAATAGGATATTTGCTCTTCACCTAGAGGTTATTAATATATATTTTGAGATTTCTTCGATTTAAATAATGCCTGACAATTATCCATCACTAATTTTTAGAAAGTTACCCCAACATTTTTAAACCCAAATAAAATAATTCGATAGTAATTAGTTCCACAATTTATCCTAAAACTTGTCTTTTTTTCATCATCAGTTGGGCACATCTTGATTTGATGGTGGCTATAGAAGGCATCGATGAAGTTCAATATTTGACAAGTCATGATAGAGTTCTATTAAGATGCTAAGGATCTATGTATGATGATAATCCTTTAATTATGAATTCATTTATCAAATTAGCAAGGTCAATATGTAAACAATCTAACTCTATTTTGTACAATTCTTCACCATCATCTGAACATATGTAACTTCAAGGAACATTATGATCACTGACCTTGATTCTATCTAGGTTGTACTCTTTCATTTCTTCAACATCCCTTTGAGAAATGGTGATACAATATTATGGTTGTTGCCATTATGATATATAATGTGAAAATTTTTGTAACATTTGCTTCTCAAATAGAATTTGAATATCTGATTGATCATCAGAAGTATTATCTATTTTGAATTACAACAACTACTATTGGATGAGTAAGAGTGAATATCTTGACTTGATAACAAAGGCATGAAAAAGAAAAATTACTCATAGCCAATGCAACATATTTCATTTAGTATATCCAAAATGGCACCTAAATTCAATATAGTTATTTAACACTCAATCCATCCTTCTCAATATAGATTAGTTTAATAATGGATGCATGATGACACCTTGGAACCAACTATAAACTTCTTAGAATTAATAAATTTCTGGCCTTCATCCATAATAATTCTAGAATTGACCTAATCTAATTTAGTCTTAGTTTCTACAAATTGACCATCCTTGAGCCTCTAGATAATGGATGCCTTCACAATTGAATGATCTAAGAAAAAAAAATCACTAACGACACCCTTATAAACTGACTAATACACTTAAAGTGACTTTGGTTTCCTATTTTTAAGATAAAGAACATTTTGACATATCTTTTATAGTTTCTATCTCCTAATATAATATTGTTGAGAGTATAAACTATAACCAATATAATATAGTTTGAATTTTTATATAATAGATATATGAAAGTGCAACATCTAGAAGATTTTAATATGTTGTGTATACATTTTTTTTAAATAAAATCCATAGAGAGGCCTACACGTTAATATAAAAACAAAATTACAAAATCTTTAAAAGGGACCTTCAGCTCACTAATGCTCAACTGAGCTATAAAACACATCTAAAGAAAACCTAAGAGCCGATGGTTCTTTATACTAATCATTATAAAATTTCCTAGTAACATACTAGGGTTGTAAGTAGTAGACAACAACCAAAAAAGAAAGTACCAAAGTAAACATTTTTGCTCCCACTTCCTGCAAAAAAAAAAAAGTTAGGTTGGCCCACTATAACAAGAGTTCCAATAGCCTGCAAAAAAGAGATAATAGAAAAAGCAAACCAAGAGCCAAAAATATGAAAATAACCAAGCTAATCATGTAAAATAGAAATCTAATATGTTGTGTATACATAATTATTTGTTTGTGATCAAATAGAGATTTGAAATATATAATGTCAAGCAGAGTTTAGTTAGGTACATATTGGTTTCTTTTATATTTTATCACTTAATGAACATAATCAACTTAAGGAAAAGTATTAAAGGCATGCTAGAAGGATTTTTCACTAGAAAAGCGCCTATGCTCTCCAATAGTATTTAAAGTATATATATTATGAGATTATAAACTTGAGCTTTTATTTCTAAATATGATATTCAAACATGGACTTTGAATTTTAATAAAAAGGGGTTGGAGAGACAATTTTATAACATCAATCAAAGCCACAAAATTTGAAAAAAAAAGTATATAATATTTTATTTGTTCTAAACATCAATATTCAAGTTGAGAAATACCAATGCTTTCACATACTAATGAATAGTATTATCTTTCGTACAGCACCAAAAAACCCTAGCCGTCTCTGGCGATTTGGAGGCGATTTTCTGGCCGCGGTGGTTTGGCTTCATCGTCTTCGCTCTGTTCTTCTATGTCATAACCATCAATTGAGTGAATATTTATAAATTCTTATATATTTTTTGTAATGAATATTTTTCACTCTCCGTATATGCATAAGTTTTGCATAGTTCACCAAGACATTGAACACTTGCTTTGGCATATGTTAGTAATGGAGTGGGTTATGGCATTTCTTAATAATCATTTCAAAATTAATGATAATCCATGAAGAAGTGTATAATCTTAATCATAATTAGCGTGAATATATTAGGCATTAATAATTTTTTAGCATACAGGCTCATTAATAGTTGCAGGGCTCTTTCTAAAAGTGTCATAAAATCACAACAAATAATGCTATTAAAATAAAAAAGATGCATTTAATGCATACCATTATGCTTATGGCTTATAGGAGAAATTATTCTATGCCGATACCAGTCGGAGAGAACCATCCGGTTTGTCATTGTAAACAATAAAAGCGTAGTGAACTGTGCTATTACTGTTTACTACAGCGCTTTAATTGTTCACCGAGACAAAATCGAACAGTTCTCTCTGTTCGATGTCCACACAGAATAATCTTTTTATTGATAGAGGGCAATCTGACTTGGGGAAGATTTGAATTGAACAAGCTAGCTTTTAGCCTGCTCAAGCCATTCTCAACTATTTAGTTTGATTCACCCAAAGGAGCTACACTTTGCCTCCTTCGTGCAAGATTACCCATACGCTTCAATTAACGGTGCCAATTCAAGTTTTGAGTCTAAGGCTTCGTTTGGGATAGCTTTTTTGCTGCTTTTTAAACCAGCTTTTTAGTACAAAATTTTTTAATTCAATATACTTTTGAACTAAAAAATTGCTTTGACTAGTAGTAAGAAAGTCATCCCAAACGAAGCCTTAGGTATTTGACACAAAATTATCTTGACATCAATCTGTTTGCTCCGATTTATCATATTATTCAAAACTTTGAACTTGAACTCCTACAGGCTTTCAATGTGTTAAATTTAGGCTAATGAGTGACTTGAGTGTTGATCTAACCCATCATACTCAAACTACCTATTATTTGGGTCATAAGTTGGTACCCAAGCTTCAATATTGAAGAATAGGTGTTTAATGGCACATCAGCTTGAGCCCCTTCAAAAGGCTCAATTAGTGCAAATAAGCTTCATTGTAGCAAAGTATAAAATAAAAGAGGGCTGTGGTAGATCAAGGGTGTCAATATTTTATATGACATGAAAATATGATCCAAACTCGATTCAAAATTTTCGTGTTAGGATTAATCCGTTTGAAAAATGAGTTGGGGTCGGGTCTTGGATTCTTCGAGTTGGGTTCGTGTCAACTTGATAACCTGAAAGATACCAAAAATAACTTGAACCAACACCTCAATCGCGCTCACCCGCATCGCCACTTTTGTATGTGCTCGTCGCCCCACCCGATAGATCATAAGTGCACTGTGCTTGCCACACCGCCTGATTGATGTGTTCGCCCATTGCGATCACCTGGGTCAGCGTGTCAAGTCAGGTCTGGAGCTGGTCGAGTTCGGGTTTTGATTTCTGATTAGTTAGTGTAATCGGTCAAGTTCAGATTAAATAAGTTGAGGGCGAATCAATTTCGGATTGTACCGAACCCGATCATAAAATGCATTTTGACACCTACTGAAACCAGGAGCAGGGTTCGGCAAACAGAAAACGCACTACTGAAACCCTAAACTCTAATCAACCCACTAAGAAGGGAATTGGTGCCTGGAGCCGAGAAATTCAGCCAGTGATTATGGAGCTCGGCTATGTTGGTCGAGTTCAGCTTTCGATCTTCACTTTAGCGATGATGTTCTTTCACGTCTCCGAATACTTGCTCGCGGTAGCCATCCATGGTCGATCCAACGTGTCCTGGAACTGTAAAGCTCGACTATTCATCTTCAACTTTTCATTTTATAAATAAATTTAAGCTTTTAGCCTGCTCAAGCCATTCTCAACTATTTAGTTTGATTCACCCAAAGGAGCTACACTTTGCCTCCTTCATGCAAGATTACCCATACGCTTCAATTAACGGTGCCAATTCAAGTTTTGAGTCAAAGGCTTTGTTTGGGACAGCTTTTTTGCTGCTTTTTAAACCAGCATTCTAGTACAAAATTTTTTAATTCAATATGCTTTTGAACTAAAAAATTGCTTTGACTAGTAGTAAGAAAGTTGTACCAAACGAAGCCTTAGGTATTTGACACAATTATCTTGACATCAATCTGTTTGCTCCGATTTATCATATTATTCAAAACTTTGAACTTGAACTCCTACAGGCTTTCAATGTGTTAAATTTAGGCTAATGAGTGACTTGAGTGTTGATCTAACCCATCATACTCAAACTACCTATTATTTGGGTCATAAGTTGGTACCCAAGCTTCAATATTGAAGAATAGGTGTTTAATGGCACATCAGCTTGAGCCCCTTCAAAAGGCTCAATTAGTGCAAATAAGCTTCATTGTAGCAAAGTATAAAATAAAAGAGGGCTGTGGTAGATCAAGGGTGTCAATATTTTATATGACATGAAAATATGATCCAAACTCGATTCAAAATTTTCGTGTTAGGATTAATCCGTTTGAAAAATGAGTTGGGGTCGGGTCTTGGATTCTTCGAGTTGGGTTCGTGTCAACTTGATAATCTGAAAGATACCAAAAATAACTTGAACCAACACCTCAATCGCGCTCACCCGCATCGCCACTTTTGTATGTGCTCGTCGCCCCACCCGATAGATCATAAGTGCACTGTGCTTGCCACACCGCCTGATTGATGTGTTCGCCCATTGCGATCACCTGGGTCAGCGTGTCAAGTCAGGTCTGGAGCTGGTCGAGTTCGGGTTTTGATTTCTGATTAGTTAGTGTAATCGGTCAAGTTCAGATTAAATAAGTTGAGGGCGAATCAATTTCGGATTGTACCGAACCCGATCATAAAATGCATTTTGACACCTACTGAAACCAGGAGCAGGGTTCGGCAAACAGAAAACGCACTACTGAAACCCTAAACTCTAATCAACCCACTAAGAAGGGAATTGGTGCCTGGAGCCGAGAAATTCAGCCAGTGATTATGGAGCTCGGCTATGTTGGTCGAGTTCAGCTTTCGATCTTCACTTTAGCGATGATGTTCTTTCACGTCTCCGAATACTTGCTCGCGGTAGCCATCCATGGTCGATCCAACGTGTCCTGGAACTGTAAAGCTCGACTATTCATCTTCAACTTTTCATTTTATAAATAAATTTAAGGAACTGATATTCATCTGTATTATTTTCATGCATATTTAGGCAAAATTAAATGGTATTCTCATATTTAGGTGAAATCTTCGACCGCTGTAGTTCTCAAAAGGGGGTTTGATTACTAAAAAAGAATATATATAGATTGTTTTTTTAGGATGATATGTGTCGTTGTTTGCAAGAATTAGAAAATAAAGTGCACTTTAATGTTAGTTAAGAATCTTATGTCTTTTTTCACACTAGGGGAAATTACAGGTAGGTATTTTTTTTCAATTATTCGTTTAATTTTAGTCGTCATGAAAAACAAGTTTGTAATTTGAGATATTCAGCATTGAATATGGTTTTTTGTTCTTTGCTGTTTTAGGGAGTTGGCCATCTTTCAGCATGATAAAGAGAAATTTTCTTTATTGCCTATTGAATAACTTAAGTTTATGAAAAAAATAAGCGAGCTTCTATCAAGTGAAAACCAGCTATTTAATGAAATAATCTTATGAATTGGGAGTTGTCTTGTTTTTATCAAGCCCACACCTATTCAAGCAGCCATGCATATCCTCCCCCTCATGATTATTAATGCTCCATGGTAATTGAGATTACCCTACCTTGGAGCAACAATACGAAAGCAAGAAAGTAAGAAAATTGAAGGCAATGATTTTCAAGGAACAAGTCTTCATTTGCCATTTTGATGGGTATTTAGGGCCAGATTGTGATGGGCATCATTGAAGTAAGAATGGCTAGGTATAATGGAAGGTGATCTGCTACTTATAAGAAGCACAAATTTACTGACCCAAAATTGCTAATATGCTTTTGAAGACAATTAACTATGAATTAATCTCTTATCGCTCATTTAGAAGCCTACTTAATATATTTTCTCAAGCTCAACTTTTTCCACTTGCCGCCTTTGAAGTACCCATGGCCTCACATCCTCTGAGGTCTTGACTCCATCTTGTGCCTTCCAAGGTAATGAAACTGAGCATCCCTTGCAATAACTTTACCTAACCCTATCCCTTAGCCATAGGAATGCAAGCCTAGCCACCACATTGCTTCCTTCTATCTCAAGCTTATACCGGCCATTCTCGCCATCATTCCTAGCACCGACAACCTTCTTCTGCACTCTCCTTGTGATGTCAATGCCTCTTGGCGTCTTCATCCCAACCATCCCTTAAGTGTTATCCATCTATAATGTGGGAAGTCTCCCTTGCTAGGTGATGGGGACATCAGAGCATGGAAAGTGCATCAGAGGCATAGCTGTCGATCTACGGCCACGATCGAGTCGATGTAGTTTTGAGTCATTTTCATGTATTTGTCTTTTATTATGTTATTTGTCTTTTATTATTTATGTTTTAATTGTTTTCCCGTTTTACCCCTTAAGGGAGGTTGTATGTAAGCCATGAGGGTATTGTCGTCTTTCTTATTTTGAGTTCTTTTTGTACGAGGCTATTTATAGCCCTCATGTTGCTCTTCTAAGAATGAATGAATGTTAAGAATTTTTCCACTATTTGAGTTCTATGTGAGATCTTGAGCGTGTTTGAAGAGAGAGAGATCCCTAGGAGAGGAAGGTCGTATCACCCACCAATATTGGAGACGGCCGGGTTCGTGGTTCGTTCTATTACTTCATCTTTCTCATCTCCCCTTCCTACACCACTGGCCACCTCCCCTCGCACCACCCCAAGCCGCTGGCCTAAGGCATCACCAAATTCCTTACCGCCGGCCACCCAATTCCCCACACCTCCTCTCTCACCCGACCACCACATCTCCCAAATCCACCCTCAATCTCCACCTAACCGCCAGCCTCTCTTTCCCACCTTGCCTCCAACTTTCCAATCTCCACTTGAATAGTTTCCTTCCTTGCTTAACCCCCTTTGGAAAAGTTATTTACTTTTAATTAATTAATTCAAATTTGAAATTTGACACCTTTCCTAAAATAGAGTCCTATTTTAGGAAAGTTTCTAAAATCAAGTTTAAATTAATTTAATTTGGATTGGATTTTTAATTCCATCATAATTAGTAAATCCCAATGAGGAAAGCATTGCATTGGATTTAAATTTTCCCCCAAGCCCTCATAATGCCGCCGGCCCCCCTAGATGGATTATTTGGAATTTCTTTCCAAAACTCCAAATCCCCCCTCTTGGAAAGATTTTAAAAAAACCCCACCTCCTTTTGGCCGAATTCCTCCAACTATTTAATTTATTTCCATTAGAGAAGTTCTCCAATTTGAAATCAATTAGTATCCTCCCATCTCTTCTACCCGCCCCCTAGCTTGCTTCCAATCCCCTCTCTCCTTGCCATTAATTCCCCTCTCTTTGGAATAATTTCAAATTCCAAACCCCTAAATCCTCCACACTCAAATCTGAAATTCAAACTTCATATTTTGATTATTCTCCTCCTCTAACCTAACTCTAATGCCAACGTGTGGCTCCCCACCTATGGCCGGCTATCTCTTCCCCTCTTCCCCTTTGGAATTTGCATGATGAGGTCCTCTCTCCATAGGAACCTTCAAGGAAGTAGCAACCGTCGTCTTCAACACATCAAGTCTTGAGAGAATTTCCTCCTCTCTAGTTGAGATTTCAAGGAATATAACGACGATCGCCTTCAACACCTCAACTTTGAGAGAAACGTCTCTCTCTAGGTAAATCACGACAAGGGTGGACTTCTTCCCCTTTCAATTATTTTCCTAATCCCCTAATCTTGTAGGTGATGACGATTCACAAGGAGTCGTGCTTCACCTTTGCCTAAGCTTAGTAAACGTAGGGTTTTTGTTTCATCATTGCCCAAAACATAGTAAACGTAGGATTGAGTGCACTTTTTTATTATGCTTCTAATCTTATTGTTAGATTAGGGATTTTGTTGAAAACTATTTACTTAGCATGGTTGTTGAATTTCTATCTTGTTTTGATTTTTCCAAGTGTTTGGCAAGCGGCTTAGCCTAAACGTAGGCACCCCTCTCTTGTTTTATTATATCGTTTGGATTGCTAATAGTTTTAATCTTATTTGCTTAATTCAAGAAATCGTGCAATTTCATTATCACATACATTTAAAACATTTTAGTTCTGCATCACTAGGCCTCCTCCTATGGCATCTCTATTGCTTGTTATTGGTTTGCCCGATGCAGTGGGGTCTCAGCCAAGGTTGATGGTGATGATTCTCGTTCTTTCGCTAATGCATTGCGTGGTGGTCAGAAGCAACCTTTCCTCCACCTCCGCTCATCTTCCAAACTCATTTCAGCAACTTTAATGGGCAACCTCTCTTGCCTTCTCTTGCTTTCTTCAATTTAATGTAAACTAGTAATTATGTTCCTACAAACATCCTTGAAAAAATAGGAAAGCATCTTCAATTTGTATTGATTGGTATGTTTTTGGCTTGGCACCCTTTTGCTGCAATGCATTAGGAATTATGTTTCAAAGAGTTAGCTTTTGGGATAATTCTTGGTAGCTTTCATCATCCCCAAACGCATTGTTTTGAAGTTCATCACGTTGGAGGACTCTTGACCTAGTCAGCTAGATTTGTCAATTTGCGAGCTGTTTGGCCAAATTATATTTTCATTTTTATTAAAAGGTTGATTAAAATAGATGATTTTTAACTAGACTAAGTTGATGGCCTCCAATCTTTGAATCCTTCTTAGAAATTTTAGCCGCCCCTATTTGGATTTCATTCCCACACCTCAAGTTACACTTGTTCGATAAATTAATCGTTTACTCCATTGGTTCAATTTTTGGCACCCCTTTGCATGTTGATGTTGCAAATGCAAATGTGTCCAAGCCTTCAGTTTGCTCTTATATTGGTGAAAATTGATATTATTAAGAGTTTTTCTAATCTTATCTCAAGTGTTTCCTAGGATTGTGGTTTTTATTGGAAGAAGGTCGTTTAAAGAACATTTCATGATATTCACATTGTCACATTTTTGGCCATTTGCTTAGCTTATGCAAGAAAGCCTGTATTTTAGAATTGGGACTTCATAACTCAACCTTGTTGGAAACAATAGGATGGCATGATGCAGTTCAAGTTCACATCAATACTGAATGAAGCTTCTCGCCCTTCATCAACGATCATTCCAACTATCATGATGAATGGTCAAGGTGTTTCATCTATTGGATTTATTTTCCTTCGAATAATTTTCCTTCTCCAATCATGGAGGAATCTATTAATGCTCAAGAGGATCTAGTTAAGAATTCACCAATCTCTTAGCCACTACAGAGCACTAATCATAACTTTGATATTGTTGTTTGTTACAACGATAAAGAAAGTGATCAGGTGCTTTTGATCGACTCCCTTTCTACTAGTCAATCAAGCAGAATTAATACTTGTTCCCTCTTTCAAATATTGAAGAATTATTTCTTCTTTCGTTTGAAGTTGCTTCCTTGATTGCTCAAAATGCTAATCATAACCTCATCATATCAGATGACAAACCTCTCCAAAACTTAAATTTCTTCTTCCTTTCCCATGTCAAAAGACATGGCAGGGGTAAAAACAAACAATATATTGAAACTCTCAGACCTACTAGAACATCTGCTAAATTTTATGATAGATATAAACCTTCACAATGGAATACATACTACAATTGGAAGTTTTCTTCTCATATTTTTGCTTTCATGCATTTTTTCTTATGCATCTCTTTTTCCTATTTGACAATATGATAGACCGTCCGATTTGATTGAGGGGGAATTAGGAAGTTTCCTAATTAAGAGGGAACTATTTAGGAAGGTTCTTAATCAAAGGAGAATTGTTTAGGAAAATTTTTAATTTCATTTAGGAGGGAATTATTTAGGGTAAGAGATTTAATTTGAATTCAAAATCTAAGAGAAAATTATTTAGGGAAAAGGAGGAATTAAGGGGGGATTGTTTAGGAAAGTTTTAATTACAATTGGGAGGAAATTAATTATTAAAATAAATCTAATTTGAATTCAAATCTGAGAGGTATTTATTTAGGGAAATGGGGATGATTTGGGAGGAAATTATGGGAGCCTATTTAAGGTTAACTATGAGGTGATTTCAGATTATGTTTGGAGTTTGCTGAAGTTAGAATTTTTTAGCTTATTTGGGCTCTAGCCGGCAGCTAGGGATTTGGGAGAGCCGGATCTTCCTCTCAAATTGAAGATCCAACTGTATCTTGCTATTTTCTTTCATATATCTTGCAATAAAAAGAATTTGGCGTGTTCTTCCTAAATTTTTTTGTCGTTCTTTGATTTGGCTGAAATTGCATCCACTTCCTATCAAATTGGTATCAGAGTTGTTCGATCCAGGCACCCATGGCAGGAATAAAAGTAAAAGTAGTGGAAGGCGAGATTGGGCAATTGAAATCAGATTGTGTAGAAAAGACTTCAAATTTTAAGAAGCTATTTTCAGCCCTCCATGAGAAGATCGATGAAAAATTTGCCATCATCGAGGAAATGATAAAGAAGCTGCTAGAGGGCCAAACCAAACCGACAACATCGGAGGTGAGAGCATCGTTGACCAGACAAGAAAATGCGAGTAACTCTAATATAGGGATAATGAGGGGGAATCAGGAGGTGGAAATAGTGCGGGGAAGAAGAGGGGATGCCACTTTTGGAGCCACTTCCAAGGAGAGGAAAGGGTGAAGGAGAGGGGTTTTTGGTGGAACTGCAGAGTTTGGAAGAAAAAGAAGATGGGGAGAATATAGAAGCACCAGACATGGTTTAGCCACTATTACAGGAATATCAAGAGATGTTCCAACCAGTTCATGGGTTGCATCCTCCGCGGGAACATGAGCATGCTATCTTTTAGAACGATGGAGTCTCACATATCAGCGTTCGTCTGTACCATTCTCCCCAACTCCAGGAGGAGGAGATGGAGAGATTGATCAAGGAGATGCTGGAGGCAAGAATCACTCGATCTAGTGACAGTTTATTTTTAAGTCTGGTACTATTAGTTCAGTGCTTCAACAACAGTTTTCTTCGCTCCACCTTGAGGACAATGTTGCACTTTGGGAGGGGAGTATTGATAGACCGGCCAATTTGATTTGGAGGGAATTAGAAAGTTTCCTAATTAAGAGGGAGCTATTTAGGAAGGTTCTTAATTAAAAGGAAATTGTTTAGAAAAATTTTTAATTAATTTGGGAGGGAATTATCTAACACAAGAGATCTAATTTGAATTCAAAATCTAAGAGAGAATTATTTAGGGAAAAGGAGGAATTAAGGGGGGATTATTTAGGAAAATTTTAATTACAATTGGGAGGGAATTAATTATTTAATTTGAATTCAAATTTGAGAGAAATTTATTTACGGAAAGGGGGATGATTTGGGTGGGAATTATGAGAGCCTATTTAAGGCTAATTATGGGGTGATTTTAGATTATGATTGGAGTTTGCTGAAATTAGAATTTTTAGATTATTTGGGCTCTAGCCGGCAGCTAGGGATTTGGGAGAGCCGGATCTTCCTCTCGAATTGAAGATCCAACTGTATCTTGCTATCTTCTTTCATGTATCTTGCAATAAAAAGAGTTTGATGTGTTCTTCCTAATTTTTTTTGTCGTTCTTTGATTTTGCTGAAATTGCATCCACTTCCTATCACAATATTAGGTGTACTTTTGTAATTTTCAGCTTAAATGGAAGTTATTTTAATGCTTTTAAAAATATTATGAATCATGATAGTATATCCTATTTTATTTGAATGAAATTTTTTTAAGTCATCATTTGCTATTCTACACATTTTGTTAGATTTTATTTAATTGGTTTTTCTTTTTCTCATCTTGCAGCTTGTTTGATTAGCAAGCAATATATTATTGCTATGGTATTTGCATTGCTGGAATACTTCATAGAGATTTGTCTATTTCCAAAGCTTAAGGATCACTGGTGGATCAGCAATATTGGGCTAGTGATCGTGCTAGTAGGAGAGGTTATACGCAAAACTGGAATTCTAACTGCTGGCCGTTCTTTCACACACATCATCAGGGTTTATTATGTAGACCATCATGAGTTGATAACTTGGGGAATCTATAGGTAAAAATTGCTTAAGAATTACTTTAATGTTGTGTTCAAGGCTATTGTCACGTAATATTGTTATATGAACTTTAACATCACCATCTAAGATTCATTTATCTATGTTGTTGTCCTATTTAAAAGATAATTAAGTAAAAAATAAAATTAAAAACTTCTTAGCCCACAATCCCCCTCTCCATCGTATTCAAGCCCCACTCGAGCATGTTGCCCTCGCCTACTCAAATCAAGCATCATCCCCTCTCACGTAGGTTCTCGTTCTCTCCTTTTCACTCTCTCGTTCTCCCCTTCGGCTTCTACTGGATTCTTGCAATCCTTCGACGACAAAGTTGTGATAAAGTCACTCAGAAGCTCAATTAGAGGGCATCTACGAGACCCATTGCATGTGAAGGAGAAATTTGCATGAGTTTTCACTTGAAGAAGTACTTGATGAGATCAGTGACATGTGAAGAAACTAAGAAAATCAAGCAAGTGCTCATTGGAGAAGGTTCAAACAAGAAAGGAGGATAAATTGTTGAAGTCCCGAAGATCAGTAATTCTTTAATAAGAACTAGAAAGTTCCTAAAAAGTCAGAAACGAGGCTAACATTAACCTTGCCTCTGTCTGTGACATCCTTGTTCCCTTTTTCGGAGAATTTAGGACTATTGATCATTTCCTTTTCTTGCTTCGATCTTACTATAAGCCTTATTAGGGCTTCCATTTCTTTAATGAAAAAAAAAGGAAAAAAAGGGGAGCTGGTGGTGTAGGGGTTGAGGAAGCCTTCAAATGAACATCAAACTCTTATTACTGTACTATTTTGTTCAAAAAACATTTCTCTACTATCGATAGTGGGTCTTAGTAGTGTAAGGAAAACAACTCTCGTGCAATATGGCTATGAAGATGATATGACAAATGAATTTGATTTTAAAATGTGGACTTGTGTTCCAACAACTTGGATGTGGAAAGAGTTGTAGATGTGTTGGAATATCTTAAAATGAAGAGACTTGGTTGGGAGTTGATGAAATTCAAAGGATGGTCAGGTTCAAGGAACTTACCTCTGCTTGACGAGATGATCTGAGAATAAAAATGCATTAAAGTGGGTTCATATTTATAATTGGAAAAATGATCCATGTGGACCCCACCAAAATAAAGTACAAGTCATATACATGCGAGATATTTTAACCCATGAAACTCATAACCTGATCCGCAAACACAGACAAGTAGACAAAGTGCATGTAATAATGTACTTAAAATGCAAAGTCACGAGTGTGCTCTAATGATGGTACATTCATGTGAATAACTACCATGTTAGACACTTACATATCTCAAACAGTTACAATCATGTGAATGTTTTCGAAAGAAAGATGAAATGTTCAAATTTATTGCACATCATAGGTTTATGAATGCCTTAAATGACGCACATTAATTACTAAAAGGAAGCTCGTACACACCCGTAAACATACAATATACTTTGCAAATAAATTGTGCATGCCATGAACAAAATTTTTTCAAATGAGATAAAGCAATGCATTATTGCGCTTTACCTGTCATATAACTATTTTAATAATGTGTGCAAGTTGCATCAAATCACTAGTAGTAATTGTCCATGAGTTAACTAAATGTGTAGTGCTTGCATACTAATGAGAATGCCAAAGCACTGTGTAAGCGTACTTAAGATCATGCAAGTATGCAAGTGCATGCATAAGTGCATCAAAAATGTGCAAGCACATGCGCAAGTACATCAAAAAATGTGCAAGTGTATTAAATATTATATCAAGTGCACTATATGAATACATCAAGAAAACTGCAAATATGCAATGCAAATGCATTAGAAAAAAACTTGCACAACACATAGGACCATTGAAATCAATTTACTTGCATATACTCTAACCAAATACATTAAACTTCTAAATTTGATGTCCGAAAATGATATGCTAGTTAAAATAAGGAATGCAGTTAAATTTTATTTATCTCAAAATTATAAGTTCCAAATAGTGCATGATAAATCTTATTCTTGCAAATGAACGCCTGACTAAGAAACTCATAAAGGTTTTTGATTTTTAAGTTTGCATTAAGCCTTCTATACCTGTTTTATAAGGAACTCATCACAAATATACAAACTCTCGAGTTCATTGCTCCTATAGTAATTTACAATTAATATTTGAACTCAATCTTTTGTTAGTGAATGAATGCATCGGGCTTGTTATGTGATAAAAATGTACCCCTCAAACTTAAGGGAAAATTCTATAAGATGGTAGTGAGTCCTGCAATACTTTATGGTGCCAAATGTTGGCCATTAAAAGAGAAGTATAATACTAAGTTAAGTGTTGCAGAAAATATCAACAAGAGTACTTTTATTTCTCAAAATGCCCCAAAATTTCAAAGTTAATCATTAACAACTTAGAATCTAATAAAAAAATCAATATCCATTCGTATTTAAAAACATTTCAAGTGAAATCTTCCCCTTTTAAAATTTAAGGCAAAATTCATTCACTCTCCGCAATTGTTTATCGAGGGTGATGCATTTGAGAATGACCTCAGCTCATGTGGTCATTATCTTGTCAAGTGTATCGCTACGATTCATTCTCAAGTGATTTCTTGCCAGTAAGAACATTATATGTTTTCTCTAGTTGATGGTTTAGTCGCAAAATGACACCACTAGTAAATATTTATGATTGGGGTCCAATGATTGGATTGTTCATTAACTTAGTAACCCTGTGTCATGATGGGTTGACAAGATTTTCATGTTGGTAAATTTTAAATCCTATGCTTAACTGCTTCTCTATTATACGCTAAGCATTTAGCTTCTAACAACTAGCTTTAATCAAAAGTTCTCTCTCATGATCTAAGGGATAAATAATCATAGGAGGCTTATGTCTATGAGAAACTTTGAACCATATCATAAAGTTCTTTCTAAATGAGTGTGAAATTTTTAGGTAATGTCTTATCTTCAATCTAATTTGCTTTCCAAAAATTTGATCCAAAATATGTTTAACTCTCTCAACAGAGTCAAAGCACAAATATTTAGAGCCCACAGATATGCATCCTTATCAGTGTGTTGTTCACCCTGCTGATTCTTGCTTGGGTAACTGGGGGCATCTGCCATTTTAACTAGGGTGAGAAAATTTAATGAAAGAACTGTTTGTAAATATTGCTAAGAAGTACTACTTGTAAAGATAAGCATGTATGTGGTTTTTTTTTGCAACATATTTATATGTTACACTTGTATACATATCTCTCACATGGTCTTTTTTTTTTTCGTTGGCTGAAAACTCACACTCCACAGGCTATAGTATCAAGCATTTCATTACCAAGTATTCTTAAAAACGATTTACTATCACTGATTAGGATTATGTTTGACACATTTACTACTCAGATAGCTTTACTCCTTTTTTTCACTCTACTGACATTTTATACTGTATGCTAGTAGTAATGGAATGAAAAAATCTCATAGTTTAGCACCCAATTTTTTTCAATTTAGCAGTTTGATCTATTACTTATTATTCATGAACATTTATAAGATCTTTCCATTTAGTCATCATACATACACACACACACACACAAAGAAGAATCATCATTTTCCATCCAATTAAATTTTGATGTTATAATCTTCAAATACAAAATTAAAATCATCCATCCTCTTAGCATATTAAAACTAGTATCATGCATCATAGTCAAGTTGTTAGATTTTCTAGGTCACTAATTGGACGAGTCAAAATTTTTAAGTACATGACTTTGATTGACTGTGATATATATATATATATTTTTGTGTGCCTGTTTTTTTTTTTTTTTTTTTTTTATAAAATTTAAAGATAAGCCCCCAACATTAAAATAGTATTTTTATTATTTAAAAAAAATCTTCCCTTTAATTTTTAGATAAATTCAAGTTTAATGATTTGTTAGAAAATTCATTTTTTGTATAATTTCAAGTCAAAAATTAATTTTGTCGTAGATTTAAATTTACCTTCTTAAAACTCTTATAAATAAAATCTGTATGGTCTTTGTGGTAGGGTTATTTTGTTGTGCAAGTTAGGGGGACTACTTCTGAAAATTCCTTTTGGTTGGTTCATAGGTCTATAACAAGATTCCTAGTTCTTGATTGTGATTGAAGAAAATAGCGAGCTATTGTTGTAAAAAAATTGAGAATAAATTATGGAAAGAAAGAAAGAGGAGAAAAAAAATTTCATGTGGTCATGGAGTATTGTCTTAATGAGCGTTGAAAGCATAGTGATGCCTTAAATATTGTAATGACAAGGCATGCTGTAAGGAACCCTTCTGGAAACTTTGAAATAGAGAATGTTACTTAAATCTTCTTTGTTTATTCTTACTTGTATGATTCTTTCTATTGTTTGATTTAAGAGAGTTGGTCTTCTTTTGTGATGAGATTGGGTGTACTGGGTTTGTTGAAGTATAGTTTATTGTGCTTCTTTTATTTGTACACCTTTGTGGCTTCTCCATAATTATTCAGGTCTTCTCTCTCCCATCCAATGGATTAGGCGACTGTTTTAGATGAATCATGTAAATATTATGCTTGCTTGTAGTGTTTGATCTTATTGTTATTATTTTGTATGTTATTAATATTTGCTACTAGTAGGTACTTTAACTTAAAAGTTATGTTTTTCCCTTTTTTTTTTTTTTGGGGGGGGGGGGGGAGTTAACCACAGAACAAAACAAATAATAATGAGTATTTGAGCCATATTCTTCCTTTCAAGTGCGAGTAATGATTAGCGAAGCAAGATGCATGATTGAGAAGTTCAACTGTTCAAACTTTGCATTATGGAGGATGCAAAAGGAAGATTTGCTGTACAAAAAGAAGTTGTGTTTACCATTTGAAGGAATCACCAACACTGTTAGTAATAGAGCTTAATATGGAATATAATGCAATGATGTATGAAACTGATAAGTTTGATGGCTAAAAGGTTTTGGGCTTTTGAGGATCAAGATGCTAGGTGTGTTAATCCTGCTAGAATTTATGGAGGCACATACGGGGAATTCAACTATGCCAAAAGCTATGAGTAAAAACG